AGTGGTAGCTGAAAGAAGAAAATGCTGGGTGAATTTAAAAAATTTGCAATTTTTTAATTGAGACAAATTTATTATTCCAACTTAAAAAGTCTGGTGTTAATGGATTAAAACACAAGTAAAAATACAAAAAGAACAAAAAAGCATGAAATACATATAAAATTAGTAATTTTGACTAAAGGCTGATCGACCTATGTAGGGGTCAAGGAACTGGCCTTTCATCAGGAAGGTTCTGAGTTCGAATCCCGGGCAATGCATGAATGTTCTTTCCTTCTCTGTACTATCTGTCCCTACTGTGGGAGTAACGTTGGTCCACCTAATAGGGTGCCTCTGAAAGAGTGTCCAACAAATCTTCATTGTACGACTGAAGGTCATTTTCCAGGTGGTCATTAGAAAAAAAAATTCGACTTAACTTTCGTTGTAACGAATGTAAAAGGGCTACTTTACTAAGCACAGACAAGCCACCCTATAGCTCAAATATGACAAAAGAAGTGAGACAAACAGTTCAGAGCATGAGACCTACTGAAAAAGTAATCTGAAAGTGAAAAAGAATTCCATCTTAACACTTTTAAACACAAAAAAATTCCGAAAAATTTAATTCATTTTAACCCTTGAAGAAGGAAGCAGCAAAGTTAGAGAAGAAAAGAAAGAAGTCGCAGCAACGAAATTGAATTTTCTTTAAGAAGTCACGAACATCCACAAAAAGTCTTCGAATCTTAGTTTAATTGAAGGAACGAAAGTTGAGTCAAACTTTATTTCAGACCATTTTTAAGAATTAAAAGCTGTTAAATTTTTTATTTTTTCCAAAACGAAAAGTTCCTTCCTGAAATACACATGCTAGTCATAAATATTTAATATTTAAATCGCTAAATATTTATTACATGTAGTGTCTGTCAGGGAAAAAAAATGTTGAATGTTTTTTTTCCTCTTCGAATTTTCGAAACTTTCGAATAAATAAGATTAGCTTCCTAATTTTATTTGATCTTGCGACTGACTGTCGCTTATCATAGAGATATATATTTACTTATGGAAACTAATTTATGCATATCTTGTTTCAAGTTCTGTTAGGGAACACTGCCATCAAAGGATTATGTAATGTGCATTTCGTCTTTTTTATTATTGTTGCATATGTCTTACTAAATTCGTAGTTTACTATTCGCAATGTCCTTTTTTTGCTATCTTACGTACGTTTTTAAAACCCACCGAGTATATTAGTGTCCATAGTCTTTAGAAACGTCTTTCATGCCAAAAATGTTATTACGTTTTACAAGGTTCAAGCAAATATATATAGTTTGCCTTTCACAGCATATTTGTTTTAAAATATGTATCCTACTTTTTACCACAGTTTGCCACTCACAAAATTCTTTTCCAAAATATTTTATGCGTGTTTTATGAGACATACTCAGATGATTAGTTTGTCTTTCACAACGTGTTTTCTTTTGCTGCCTAACGTATGTTTCTTAAGATCCCCAGCATCCATAGTTTGCCTTCAGAAACGTCTTTCTAGCTAAATATGTTACTACGTTTTACAGGATACATGCATACTTACATAGTATTACGTATCACTATATTTTTTTAAAAATATGTATCCTATTTTTTCCATAGTTTGGGATTCACAAAATTCTTTTCCAAAATATTTTATGCGTATTTTATGAGACCTACTCAGATGATTACTTTGTATTTCACAGCGTGTTTTCTTTTGCTACCTAACATATGTTTTTTAAAATCCCCAGAGTATACTAGCATCCATAGTTTGCCTTCAGAAACGTCTTTACGTTTTACAGGATACATGCATATATACATAGTTTGCTTTTCACAGTATCTTCTTTTTTTAAACATGTTTCTTACTTTTTACCACAGCTAGCCATTCAAAAAAAACTTTTTTCAAAATATTTTACGCGCCTATTATGGGACCTACAGAGATCAATAGTTTGTCTTTCACAACGTCTTTTTTTTATTATATTTTACATACATTTTAAAAAGTCCTACAGAAACCCACAGTTAACGTCCTTTCTTTTTATGAGCCTTGCAAAGATCCCAATTTTTTTCACGATTGCGGAATCAATTCTGTATAAATTGAATAAGAATTTCTGGAATCTCTTAGTAATTTTTTTCATTTTGTGTTAATAACCTGAACAAACAAAACTGCTTGCGAATCAATCACAGGGGGTGGAGCTTTCTAGTATTGACAAATGTCACAAACGTGGCTCTTATTGTTCGTTCGAGCACAATCGGTGGTATGACATTAGCAGACTTTAATTGCAATTCACTAGTTTTTATATTTTTAAAAATTTCAAACATTACCATCTAAGCTTTTATGTGACTCTAAATAAAGTCAAGCAACAACGGAACAGATTAATGAAAAAAATCTGCTACCAAATACAAGACATATTGCGTAATGACCGGTTTTATATGTAACATAATATTACTCATTCCAATGTATGAGACTATTGCAACTTAGACGTTATGCATAAAGTCTCTAAAATGTAAATAAATTGTTTATGTGTATAGTCTAGCAAAAATGTTTGCACGTTTGTTGAAATTAAACCGCTGAGGTAAAAAAAATAATAAACACACCACAAAAATAGATAGAACTATTATAATCTACATCAACCCACTGGCGCTTAAGCAAATGGGCAAAATTGGGAGGATGTTTCTCCCCAATGCACTATTTCCACTATTACACTATACATTAATAACATGTAAAAACTGGTTTTGCTATGCGGAGAAGACTGCTGGTTGGAATACGAATTTTAACGTGCAGAACTACCAGCAGGTTAAAACGTTAAAATTAATTGTTGTTGTTGTTTAGAATGCGTTTGTCAACCAGCAAGTCTGCTTGTTGAAACCAAGCGAATTTAAATCATAGGGTGTGCATCTTATTTTTCAGTGGCGCCATCTAAGACCATGAATACGTTTTCCGCCGTTGCCATAAATACGATTCTACACACACGTCACAACCCGTTTATAGGGTGGGCCCAGTCATACATCCATTTATTTTTCCACAGATCGTAATTTTGACCTGAAACAGAGAATGATCAATCTTCAATTCAGTACCCCCAGAGATATTGATTTGTTATGCGATCATAATTTATATCAATACCTCTGTAAAATTAATTGTAAATCATTCTATCTCATGACATTTAATTATAAATAATTTGAATTATTTTAGAGTTAGAAATCATTTTTAATTTTATTCAATTTCAATTAAAATTCACTACTTATTTAGTTAATTAGTTAATAGATAGTTAGATTTCATTACCCATAATAGAAAGGAATAGATCGTATCTAAAATCTTGGAATAGAATTTCTTTTCAAAATGTTATTGTAAAGAGCAAAAATCTTTATTCTTTCCACTTGAATAAGAAATAAAAAGCAACGATAATATTATCGTTTTCACTTATTCATCGCTAAAAAAATTGTCTGCTCAAACTTTCAATCTTCTTTTTCTCTCAAAATTCACTTTTACGAAACAGTTTCTGATATTTATCATCAGACGAGATTAATATGACGTATTATTTAGAATATAATAAAATATTATTAAAAAAATTATGCAAAAAAAGCTCGAAGAAATTTGATAAAAAATAATTTTTAAGAACTCGTGATTTTAAGACTTTATACTCTCTCTCTAATAGATTCTCTTTCTGATAATTGAAATCTTCAATCATAACTGTTAAAAATTATAATAATCGTAATCGTCATAATTGCTATAATTCCATTTCACAATTCTCTACCATAACGCTATCAAGTGAAGTTGACGCAAAGAGTTTCACCTCTGATGCATATGGCAACGCTTGTTTCCCTATCATTTATAGCACCCATCGGGCAATAAGCTTAAATATTTCATTAATTTTAATTAAATTTATGAAATTTTGCGTAAGAGTTTTGTATATTGTTTTATTTTAATTCTGTAAATTGCTTAGATTTTTTCTTTAAAGGAATATCGAGTGTCTAAGAAGATAAAGGTACATATTATTAATAATTAAAAAATTAAATTACGATTTAACTCTAAAAAAACTTATTTTCTTTTGTTTTTAATTTTTTTATGTTGAATGTAATACATATTTATATGCTTGATATGTATTATTAAGGAAAAAAAACGGAGAAAAAGTAGGGTCTAAACTACCAGAATATTGTAAAATTTATCGTTATTCTGGCTGTATAGAAACACTAAAAAGCTCAGTAATCTTTATAAAAGTCTATTGGTAATGATTTTGATAAAATTAACAATAAAATTTGCTTTTGTAATATGTGATAAAATTTGGTAATTGTGTTAAAATTGGAGGATTTTATCATGATGTCTAAGAGCATGGCATTAAAACTGTTTGTTGAGTTAAACTTACTTTTCAGTTTTATATTTTTTAATAACTCTATGTTAATAAGAACAATAATTTTGAAAACCAAAATTAATGGTAAACTGTTTCCAGATGAACGGAAAAATTGCAGAATGATTGGTTCATATACAATATATTTAGATTTTTAGTACCAAAAAGTATAGTTTTTTTTTTTACCAGAGATGCCACTAACATACAGTACAGTAATTTTAAGAAATTTTTTTTATCTCCGCGTGAAATAAAACCGTTCGATTAGAAAAATGAATTCAAAATCGTAGTTGAAGTGGTAACCTAGGAAATGGTTGAGTACAAATTTTTTCACAAATAGAATAAAGAGCTAAATTTGCAAGACAAAATCTGAGTTAATACGATTAAAATCTTACTATACTCTAATTGAATAATTTTTAATTATGATACAACCATCTGTTTTTCGTTCAAAATAAAAATAAAAGTTTCTGTGCTGTAATTGCAGAGGTTGTTAAGCAATGCGAATACTGGGTGATTGCCATATTATTATTTAGGATTATTTTTCCAGGTAACGTTTACGTTGTTTGAAGTGTATGTAATCAAATTTCTTTCTTTATGGAATTCACTTTATCAGCATTGTAAACGTTTAACAAAGGAAAAGAATGAAAATACATAAGATTTTAAAATTAGGAATTGACTTACTAGGGAGTAGTCTGTTCTAGAACTTGGAGCCAGAATGTGAAGTTTTGGCGGTTTTTGTTTGCAGTGTAGGCAACCTTCCGCAGTCATGAAGACTAGGGCCATCATCCAAAGGACGCCAATCAAACGCCCTTTTGACCTAGTCATCAATGACCACACCATTACGTCATTTGCCGGAAATGAAATGACCACATTGCTGAAATTAAAAAAATAGCATACGTTATCAACTACATAAATACAGTTTTAATATTATATTGTGTTTGCAAAAAAGCATAGGTTTCATATTGAACCGTACAATAGGTACCTTAAACTATAATACGAACCAAATTTGCTATAACCATAATAAGGCTTTAAATTGAAAATTGATTTCTCTTGATTTATTGATTGATACTTTGAATAATACTTAAGGCCTGTTTACACGGTCCAAGTTCTTGAATCCGAGAAATTGGAGGGATCTCTCTCTCCAAGAAATTGGATGATTCGTTGACACTATCCAAGTTCTTTAATGTCACTGATTCGTCGAAAGAAAAACTTGCGCATGCGCATTGTTCATATTCAACAATATAAAATAATGCTTACATAAGTTTAGAATTACTAAATAAATTCAAATAAAATCATAGTAACACAAATAAACCGCAACAAATCAATTTAATTGAACTAAAACATATGAAAACAGACAACAAAATGATATAATTTGTTGCCTGCTTGTTGACCGCACAAAACCTAAGACGCTGATTGGTTAAGGGAGAAAAAACTTGGATAGAAAGTAGAACATGCTCTACTATCGTCCAAGAAGTTGGATCAAGTTCTTGGATGATTGTTTACACGATCCAAGCTCAAAGCAAAACAAGTTTCCATCAATATCAATCAATCTCTGTCCTAGAAATTGGATCGCCTAAACAGGCCTTTATTTACCCTTTCTACAAGATTATATAATTGTAAAATATTTATAGAGGTTTTCGAAAACTGGACTAACGAAACATATTTATTTCAATTACGATAATGATAAGCAAAAATGTCGCATTATTCAAAAAAATCATAAATGCACAATAAAAAATTACGAATCAAATTACGATATTAAGTACTATCACTTTGGGGACATTATCCGTAAAATCTGTTTTTACCGCAAAAATTATATCGTAATTTTTACAGTAATATTTATTTAATTACAGTGATTCAGTGATTTTACGGTAATTATTACTATAAAAATTATGGTATGTCAAATTTTTTTGTGCCGTAACAAATTGCTGTAAAAATGGATTTCACGGTAAAAAAATACCGACACTCAGAGTGCCGGTGCTTTTTTTACCGTCATTTAATTCGGAAATTTTTACAGTGTATAAAATTTATTAATTAAAATATGAAATTTATTGAATAAGATACACTTTTTTTTCAATTTGAAATTTCTTTCTTATAGTGTAAATTAAATGATTTTTGGTGTGAAATACTATTTTCATTGAGTTTATAAATTATTTGTCTAATAGTGTAAAATTCTCGTTTTAAAATGTAAACTATCTAATTATTTTACAGTTTAAGTTCTTTATTTTATAACATAAACTATACATAGCACTAAAAATGTTTTTTGATGGTTCAAAATATTTATTTTTATACATAAATTTCATTTTTTTTAAACAAAGTATCCCATTAATGTTGCAAAGTAATTAATGCAAATAATAATTTTTGCTGTTTGCATCGCATTTTTTAATGTAGAAATAATTATCCTATTTGAATGAAATGACTAAAGTTAATTACAGTGGATCTTTTTTCAGCAAATTGTTAGTTACGACTGCAAATTATTTTTCAAAAACAATATTGAAAATAATTATTACTCCTTAATTAATTGCACTAATTTGACGTAGTTGTTGTTTTTTATAGAGTAAAAAAATAGCCATAAGACAAGCTGGGAAAAACTTAAAATAATTCTTTAAGTAATAATTCTTAATTTCTTTCTTAATTTTTCAATCAGACTCCTAAAAAACGGCTGATATTTGAGTATAAAAAGATAAATCTAAAAAGAATTTTCGAAAACTTCACTTAGAATTAATTACCCTATTACTATTTTTTATGTAAACAAAAAATTTTCTTTCCTTTTTATGAAAATCAAAAATCGTTTTCGAAAAAAAAATAATCTTAACAAGTTCAAATGATGGTTTCTAACCGGCCTGTCTTTTACAATCGATTTCTATTATGATATCGATTGAAAGTTAGGGCTCGTCCACTTTCCAAAGTTTTGGGTAATCATAGAGGATTCAGATGGAGTGAAGAAAAAGGAGAAAAAAACATCTTTACCTCAAACAAACTACGAAGAAAATAAAATTGACTTCATTTGGCGACGATGGCGTTTCTTTCGAAGAACTTCTGGATAAATTAGGAAAGTTTCCTTTTTAACACTCGGAATGGAAAAAAGAATATTTAAATTTTTATCACGTTATCGTTATGAGCTGTCAACCACAGCTATTAAAAAAGAGATGAAAATAAGTGATGAATATTTCTTTTATTCGATTAAAGAAATTTTATTTTGAGTTAACAGATTTAAATTTGTAAATAAATTGTTTTATTTTTAGACACTACAAAATTAAAAATATTGGTTTTCACAGTGATTTCTTAATAGAAAAATATTATGTTGTGTAAAAGCAAATGCATTCGCACCTTAAATAAAATATTTAATTTTTATATCACATAAACACCGTTAGCTGGATAGTAAGTGAAAAAGAAATATACATTATGACGATTCTTTTTATTTACTCAAAGAAATTTGTTTTGACTCAGCAGATTGAAATTTGTATTTAAATTCTTCTATTTTCAAACGCTACACGAAGAAAAATAGTATTTTTTAAACGCGATTTCTTTATGATAAAAAAATGCATTGTTTAAACGATTAAAAGTCTTAAAGTTGATATTTTTTCGAAATTTATTTTCAATAACATTTTTATATTCTTTTATAACATAAAATGCAAATGGTTAAATATTTATTTTAAGTGCATTTTTCTTAAAATGATTAAATCCTCAATATTAAGCAACAAAAGTTATTTTTTTTTCGAACTAAGGCCAGAATTTTTTCATGCTCTGCATAAATTTTTTGACAGATTAAGACATACGCTTATTTTTTATTATTTTTTAAATGTCATTGAACAGCCGATCCAATTTTTAAGTTCACAACTACCAATGGTTAGTTCTTCTTCTTCAGGAGCGCAACAGCCCTTTGCAGGCCTTGGCTGCCTCAACAGCACGCCTTCTCCAGCTCCCTCTGTCCATGGCAACTCCCCTCCAGTTCTTAAGTTTCAGGACTTTGAGGTCGTTTATGGTTAGTTCTACAGCCTTGTAATTTGGAAACCAATCCAGACGACAAGGGAACTCCTGGAACAAGTATTAGGAGAAGTTCGCCTTCGAAGAAGACTTTTTGATGGAGGGACTTTTTTTTGGGAAAGATGACTTGGAATTTTCAGTGGGAATTAATTACGAAAATCATATGCCCTATAATTTTTGTTTTAGATGTGACAAAAAATAAAATTCTTTCCTCTTTTACTGCCTGTTTCGAAAAAGGTTGTAGTTTAGAAATTTTATTTCATGAATTTCTTCCTTTAGTTTTGCGTCTGCTTATTTGCTTGTATACGAAAGTAAAAGTATTTTTAATTGGCGGCAAATCTAGTTTCCATCATTTACAAAATAATCGTAACTATATTCATATTAGACACATACCACCAGTTAATGGTTGTGTATTTCAACTAATCATATAATAATTTACTGTACAGACATTCTATGGAAGGTCCTGTTTTGGGGAATTTTTCAAAATGCTACTCATAATTTTCTTAATCTACAATTATTGTATAGAATCCTTTTAGCTTTGTCCTAATTTTGTGAAAATGTGAAAATCAGGTTCTGTTTTTGTGGGAAACATTTATTTTGATGGGGAAAATATATTCATAATTTTATGAAAACAGGGTCCTGGTTTTACACTTTCTTAAAAAGTCACTAGTATCAGTAGTCAACAATACTGACATTTTGTAAAAGGTTCTGTTTTTGCGAAGTAGTGAAAAATCCTTTTCATAATTTTTTGAGTCTATAATTACTGTAGAACTGAGATTTTTCTATCAGGGTCCTGATTTCGTAAATACGTGAAAATTAATTTGGATTTTTGTGAGAAAAAACATTGCAAACACATAAAAACTTTATGAAATATACAGATTTTGTGAAAATATGTTAGAATTTTTGGGATTTTTGAAATGTCACGAAAAACAATAAGCTACTGTAGAAACTTTTTGCAAAAAGTTCTGTCTTTGTAAATTTGTGAAAATTCTTTTCATAGATTTCTGTATCTAGAATTACCGAAGTCACACTTCGAACAGAGAAAAAAAAGTTGATACGCTTTTTACATCATATTTTAAAAATGGTTTCACCCAAATTTTCAATGGCGCTGTATTAAAACAGATTTTAAGACAATAATTAATTTACTCCTTATTCAATTTACATTAAAATTTCAATTTACATTAAAACTACAGTTTGTAAATATGTAATGTACTTCCGTTTGTACTTCAATATATTTTATGGAATTGATAGATTAAATATTAAATTTTCGATTTTTGAACATTTTGATTAATATTTCACTAAATTATAGGATACAGCATTATTATATAACTGTTAAATTTTGGAAGAACTATCTAAATATTAATGTAGATGTTAATCGAATGTAATGTTAATGTAATTAATGTAATGTGAATCGAAATCTAGCAAAATATCTAAAATAAATAAGCAATATTTAAATTTCCAACTCAACTAACTAGACTAACTTAAATATCATGCATATATTTATATAAATTAAATAGCATTTGATAGCGAAAAAGCAAAGTTTTTAGTATCAATTATTAAACAATTTAAATAAACATAGTTATGGTAAACAATACGTTATTTAAGTTGGCAGAAATAATGTCTTTATTTGGAAAAAAAACATTTCAATTTTTAATTAATTTTCTATTAGTTTAAACAGAACTTTTTTTAAAGTTCTAATAATCTGAAGATGATTTTTGTTGCAAGAGAGTTACATGATTCATTTAAATAAATGGCAATTATGAAATATGAAAATTTAATTATATTTGATTCTCTAAAGCATTTTTATTTTATTCAACTTACCGAATATATTAATTTGTTTAAGTGATGAATTTTTTTCAAAATAATGCATGTAAGTTTTATTTTGATAAA